TGGGCCTCTCATTTCCTGCGGCCACCTGAGAAAGGAGAGAGGCCTGTGGATGGACACAGCTTCCGCTCTCCCCCTCTGCCTTTTCCCTGGTCATCACGAAGCTCCTTGAGGGGGAAACCCTGTGTAATACCTCCGTGCCCTCCTCTGGGGACTGGCACACATCAGGAGCTCAATAAATGTTTGTAGATGAAGACTGTGCATCTCTCCGCTCCCCTCTCTCATTTCTTCTTCCTTGGGAGGGGAGAGTGGGGGTTCAGAAGTTGATAACCACGAATTGGGATGAAAGATGGGATGAGGGAAATGTTTGAACTTTTCCAGCTTTGTTGATGCTCGAGATGAAGAGGAGGCCCCTGTGCTTTCTGTCTGGGCTCTTTGAATCCCCTTAAACCCCTGCCTCAAAGGATTTAGGGCAACCCCTACCCTAGGGAGTGGGTGTGTCCCAGGACTCGTCCCCTCCCATTATGTAAGGGCAATAGCATTTAGTGATTCAAGGGCTATATTTGACCTCAGATATGTTTTGATTCACCTTCAAGCTGTTTTATAATATTGAACTAATGCCCTAGCAGGTTTGGCTCAGTGAATAGAGTGTCAGCTTTCGGACTAAAAGGTCCTGGGTTCGATTCCGGTCAAGGACATATGCCTAGGCTACAAGCTTGATCCCTAGTAGGGGCATGCAGGAGGCAGCCGACCCATGATTCTCTCTCATCATGGATGTTTCTGTCTCTCTCTCTCCCTTCTCTCTGAAATAAACAAAAATATTTTTTAAAAATATTAAGCTAAGTTGCTCATTTAACAAGTATTTATTGAACATCTACTGTGTACCAGGCACAGATCTGGGCTCATAGGATATATAGTAGATAACATAAAGTCTCACCCAGCTGGTGTGGCTCAGTGCTTGAGCATCCACCTATGATCCAGAAGGTCACGGTTCGATTCCTGGTTTTGGGCACACGCCTGGGTTGCTCACAATGATTCTCTTATTGTTGATGTTTTTGTCTCTCTCTCCTCTCTCCCTTCCTTTCCGAAATCAATACAAAAATATTTTTAAAAAAGTCTCCACCTTTATGGAGCTTACATCCTAATAAGGGAAGACAGACAATAAACATCACAAAGTGAATGATTTATGCTACAAGGTGAAGAGTGCTAAGGGGATAATAGAGCAGGATAAGGGGATTTATGTTTAGGAGCTTGGCATTTTTAAAGAGGGTGGGCTGGGAAGGCTTCGTTGAAAAGGTGAGCAAAGATTTGAGGGAGGTGAGTGAGTGAGCCTTGTGGGGGAGGAGCTGGTGGGGTAGAGGGAACAGCCTGAGGCAGAAGCTTGCCTGGATAGGTCCTCTGGGCCTGTGGCCTTTTCAGGAACCATCTTGAGGTGTCTTGTAAAAAAAAAAAAAAAAAAAAAAAAAATATATATATATATATATATATATATATATATATATATATTTTTTTTTTTTTTATTTTTTTTTTGAGGGAGGGATAGAGAGTTAGAAACATCGATGAGAGAGAATCATTGATCAGCTGCCTCTTGCACATCCCCCACTGGTACATGCCCGCAACCAAGGTACATGCCCTTGACCGGAATCGAACCCGGGACCTTTCAGTCCGCAACCCGATGCTCTATCCACTGAGCCAAACCGGTTTCGGCTTGAGGAGTCTTTAAAGAGGTTTGTGCAGGGCTATGACATGATGTGACATTTTATTAGTTATTTTTAAAAATAGTTTATCAGAGAGGAAAGGAGAAGGGGAGAGAGAGAGAGAGAGAGAGAGAGAGAGAGAGAGAGAGAGAGAGAGAAATATCAATGATGAGGCTCACCAGTTGAGACTCAACCACTGTAAATGACACTCCTCATTTATCCTTTCTAATCTGCAGGATGTTTTCCCATTACTTTTAAAGAGAAAGGAAGGGGAGAGACAGAAAGAGAAATATTGATGTGAGAGACACATTGATAGGTTGCCTTCAGCATTCTAGTATGCTCCACTGTGACTTTTCAAATTTTATTAACTAGAGGCCTGGTGCATGAAATTTGTGCACAGGGGTGGGGGGGTGGGGTGTTCCCTCAGCCCAGCCTGCACCCTCTCCAATCTGGGACCCCTTGAGGGCAGTCAGATATCCCTCTCACAATCCAGGAATGCTGGCTCCCAACTGCTCGCCTGCCTGCCTTCCTGATTGCCCCTAACTGCTTCTACCTGCCAGCCTAATCACACCCTAACCACTCCCATGCCAGCCTGATTGATGTCTAACTGCTCCCCTGCTAGCCTGTTCGCCCCTAACTTCTCTCCTCTGCTGGCCTGGTCACCCCTAACTGCCCTCCCTTGCAGGGTTGATCACCTCCAACTGCCCTCCCTTGCAGGCCTGTGCCTCCCAACTGCCCTCCTCTGCTGGCCATCTTGTGGTGGCAATCTTGTGTCCACATAGGGGCAGGATCTTTGACCACATGGGGGCAGCCATATTGTGTGTTGAAGTGATGGTCAATCTGCATATTACTCTTTTATTGATAGGATAGGGGCCTGGTGCATGGGTGAGGGCCAGCTGGTTTGCCCTAAAGGGTGTTCTGGATCAGAGTGGGGGTTCCCTTGGGGTGTGGAGTGGCCTGGGTGAGGGGCCTATGGTGATTTGCAGGCCAGCCACGCCCCCTGGCGAACTAAGGGGAGACCCTGGTATCTGGATTTTATTTATCTTCTACAATTGAAACTTTGTAGCCTTAAGTGGAGGCCTGGGCCAGCCAGGGTGTTCAGAAAGCTCTGCTTCTTCCATCACCAGGGCAACCCTAGCCTCCAGCTCATTCCAGCTCTGTGGCTGCCACCATTTCCGTTTGGATTTGTTTACCTTCTATAATTGAAACTTTGTAGCCTGGAGAGGAGGCTTAGGCCGGCTAGGGCAGGCAGAAAGCTTGGCTTCAACTATCAACAAGTGAATCTAAAAACCAAGGGAATTAAAAAATCTGATGAACAATATTAACTGGTGAATATAATAGAATCAGAGGTATGGAAGGGGAGTGAACTGACGATTCTCTGGGAAAAGGGGAGTGGGGGTGCGGGAAGAGACTGAACATAAACTGTGCACCTATGGATGAGGACAATGGGGGGAGGGGAAAGGGCAGAGGGTGGGGTGGGAACCTGGTGGAGGGGAGCAATGGAGGGGAAATAAAAAGAGGAACATTTGTAATAATATGAACAATAAAGGTTTATTTAAAAAAAAAAGAAAGAAAGAAAAGAAAAGCTTGGCTTCTTCTATTGCCTGGGAAACCCAAGCCTCCCTCCTGTTCTCTGTGGCTGTAGCCATCTTGGTTGGGGTTTATTTGCATACTCGCTCTGATTGGTTGGTGGGCGTGGCTGGTGGGCTCAGAGGAGTGATGGTTAATTTGCACATTACTCTTTTATTAGATAGGATTTTAGATCGGAAGGGAAAGGGAGAGATAGAAACATCAATGATGAGAGAGAATCAATGATGTTGCCTCCTGCATGCCCTCTCCTGGGGATCCAGCCCACAACCCTGGCATGTGCCCCTGACTGGAATTGAACCAGGACCTCCAGGTTCATAGGTCAACCTTCAACCACTAAGCCACACTGCCCGAGGGTAGAGAGGTGGGGCTATTACACTCCCTCCAATCCCTTCCCCACCTTGCCCTGGAGACATGTAATGTTTTCAGGCAATTTCCATTGTTACAAAGGAAGGGGAGTGGGGGCGGGGAAGGCTACAGTGCCTAGGACAGCTTTCTACAATAAAGAATTAAAGAAAAAGATTATCCAACCTAGCCTTGGCCAGTGTGGCTCAACTGGTTGAGCCTCATCTTAGGCACCAAAATGTCCTAGGTTTGAATCCAATTCAGGGCACATACCCAGGTTCCTGTAGGTATTTCTTTCTCACGTTGATGTTTCTCTATCTCTCTCCCTCTCTCTTCCTTTCTCTAAAACCAAAAAATATATATCCTTTGCCCTGGCCAATATTGGTCAGTGGTTAGAGAGTTGTTGGCTCATGCTCCAAAGGAGTTGAGGTTTTGACTCCTGGTCAAGGGTGCACATCTGGGCTGCTGGTTTGATTCCCCCCTCCTCTGCCCCTGTCGTGGCACATGTGCGAAGCAACCAATGGATGTTTCTCTCTCTCTTTCCCTCCCACTCTATCTAAAATCAATGGAAAAATATCCACATGTGCGAATAACAAAACAAAAAATATGTATGTATCCTTCGCTGATTTTAAAAAAAAGCCTAAATGTCAATAGGTTCAAAAAACAGGAGAAGCCCTGTGCCAGTATAAGGAGGCACTCCTGTCTGAAAGCACTCCTTAGTCCGCCTGGGTGACTGCATGAGGGAGGAAGGCTTATGAGTAAGAAAAACTGGGTTCTACCACTTTGTTACAGTGTCTCTGGTGCATCACAGCCGTTCAAAATATGTGTACAACTGAAAACTGAATTTAATGACTTTGTGACTGAGCAAGTCCCAAAGGTTTCAACTTCAGTATGTTTATCTGTAAACTGGGGATAAAAAATCCCTCCTCCAAAACTGTTGTGAGGACTGCCTGGAATATCTGAGACAACCGTGGTAAAGGCATTGCACAGGACCTGGCCTACAGCAACTTTTATTTCCTTTGTCAGCTCATTCCTCCCTTTTCCAAACTGGAGTTTCAACCCAGAGGAGTGACCTTGTGCAAGTCACTGACCCCCCGCCCCGTGGGGCTCGGCGGATTCTCCGTAAAATTACAAAGTTGGCTTCTGATCTCCAAGCACGCACCCACCACCGAAACGGGGACTCTGAAGTGTGCGCTGTCTTCCTTCCCCCGACACTAATGGTACGTCCCTCGGCAGCTCCCCACCCCCCTGCCGCGGACCTTGGTACAGGCCCAGGGGGCCCCCGGGCGGCCTCTCCGGGCTGCCCTTGCCCCCTGCCGAGTTCCGGGCCGTCCCCGCGCGAGCTGATTGGCTGGAGCGGTGCCCGGGCTGCGCGGCTATAGGTGAGCCTGGGAGGGGCGGGCGGAGCGGGCTGGAGGCCCGCCCCCTCCCCCCCTGGGTCGGACACTGCTCGGAGCCGCGGGCGGGAGGCCTGACGGACCGACGGACGGACGGGAGCGACGGCGGGCGAGCAAGATGGCGCAGACTCAGGGCACCCGGAGGAAAGTCTGTTACTACTACGACGGTGAGCGCGGTCCTCGCGGCCGGGGCGGGGGCGGGGCCTGGCCGGGCCGAACCCGGGAGCCGGAGGCTGAGGAGACCGGAGTGGGGAGGCTGGGGAGGCGAGGCGTTGGGGAGAAGGCTGCGGGGAGGCTGAAGGGGAGCGGAGGTCGGGGCTGCGGGTGGAGGCTGAGAGGAACGGAGGTCGAGACCGAGGGGGAGCTGCTGAGAGGAGGATGGAAGTCTGGGCTGAGGGAGGAGGCTGAGAGGAATGAGGTCGGGCTGGGGAGGGAGGTCGAGACTGAGGGGAGGAGAGGCGCGAGGACGCGAGACCGAGGCTGAGGGGGGAGGCTGAGGGGAGGTCGGGCCTGAGAGAGGAGACTCGGAGGAGTGCAAAGGGGGTGAGACCGAGGAGAGAGTGCGAGGCTGAGGGGCGGCTCGGCGAAGTCTGAGGCGATCTTGGTGGGGAATCCTGAAGTCTGAGGGGAGAGTTTGAGTGGGACTCCCGGAGGGGAGGCTGAGTCGGAGGAGGGAGACGGAATAGGATGGGCAAGGTTGCAAGGGTGTATTTTTCTCCGGAGACCACCAGGGTCTTCCGTTGCCCCTGTCCTCCCTCCTCTTTGGGAAGAGCCCTTCGGGAATCACCAGCTAGTGGTCACCACCGCCCCTCTCGCAGCCTCTGAGCGGGGCCTGCAGTTGCTCCTGGGAAATGGAGCCCCTGGGGGGTTGGAAGGAGAAGGATGTTACTTATTCGGGTAACAAAAGTCTATCCAGCAGCTTACTCTGAATTAGGGAGCATGTCGGTGCTGGGGTGGGGGGAAGGGGAGGCCGGGAAAGTTGGGGGGAGGGGAAGTAAGAGAAGAGGTGATCAAGTCACTTCTCCAGCTGAGTTTGGAGGGGAAGATGGTGACAGAGAATTGCTCTCCAGTGTCTTGCTGGGATAAAGGAACTCTCAGAGTGTTATAGGGGCACCCAGCCGAGGCCCAAGAGTTGGTGCCATCCCAGTTAGGACCCGAAGAACAGGAGTTAATAGCCTGGCACAGGGAAGGCAAAGATAACAGCAAGCCTAGAGATGAAGGAGAGGACAGCACATTTGAACACCAGCACGTTTCTGTATTTGTGCTTTATGCCTGAGACATAGATGTGAGGGCAGAGAGGAGAAAGTAGGGAGCAGAAAGCGGGGTAAGGGAAAGGTTGCAAGTGATGAGGCTGGAGAAGTAAATGGGGATCTGAGCATAAAGGGCTGCGCATACTTATCCTAAGGAAGTTGTACTTTATTCTAAGGGCCCTTGTGAATCATGGAAGTTTTATGCAGGTTGGTGACATCATCAGATTTATGCTTAGATCTATCACTCTGGGACAGAAAGGAAATTCATGAATGTTGGGGTAAAGAAGAACACAGGAGCCCAAGTTTCTGGTTTGGGCAGTTTGATGCTGAGTGTTTGGAGGTTGTGTCAGTTGATAACTTTGGGGTTTTTTTTTGTAGGCTTTTTGCTGATTTGTTTTCTTGTGGATATGTCTGGGGGATGGGATATTCAAGTAGAGGTGTCCAGTAGGCAATTGACCATTCTGGTCTGTAGTTTAATTTAGTTTTTATTTTATTTATTTATTTTAATATTTTATTGATTTTTTTACAGAGAGGAAGAGAGAGGGATAGAGAGCTAGAAACATCGATGAGAGAGAGACATTGACCAGCTGCCTCCTGCACACCCCCCACTGGGGATGTGCCTGCAACCAATGTACATGCCCTTGACCGGAATCAACCCGGTACTCTTCAGTCCACAGACCGACACTCTATCCACTGAGCCAAACCGGTTTCGGCTCTGGTCTGTAGTTTAGAAGACAGGTATGGAAAAAGAGAGATTTTTGGTAGTCATCAGCATACAGTTGGGAATTTTAGTATAGAGGAATTTTATTATATGCACTCATCCAAGAAGTTGTATAGGGTGAAAAGAGAAGAGGACCCAGGGTGGAATTCAAAGAAAGTGTACTGAGAAAAAGACTAGTGTCCTTCATGCTCTGTACTCCCCTGTAGGCATTTGTCACTTGCATTGGAATTGCCCATTTACTTGTTCAAACCTTTTACAGATAGTAAATGCCTAAGGGAAAGGATCATGTCTTATCTACCTCTGAATGCTCAACTCTCAAAACAGTGCTAGCTCCTACTAGGCTGTTAGTAAAGATACAGAGGGAATGGTCCAAGATGTAAGTGAACCAGAAAGTGTTGGGTTACAGTAGCCAAAAGAGGGAAGGAGTGGCCAAGAACTGTTTTCTGTGCAGGGTTTAGAATTGAAGTGAGTGAAGAGGAGACATCAGGTTGAAACCTTTTTTTTTTTCTTTTTTTTTTCTTTTCTTTCCAGTAAATATGTCATCTTTAATTAAGTAAATACAAACACATGTGTAAAACCTTAACTAGAGCCCATCCAGTGTGGCTCAGTAGTTGAACATGCCAGGGTTACGCCTCAATCCCCAGTGTGAGGCCCGCGGGAGGAAGCCATTCAATGATTCCCTCTCGTCCCTCTCGTCCCTCTACAGCTCCGCTCGGCCTCCAGGTTGAAACCTTTTTAATAAAGCTTGTCCTGGGCAGAGAGAGAAAGTTGTTGACAAAGGGGAGATGGAATGGTGGAGAGTTGAGCATATTCAAATTCTTAGGGAAAAGATTCAGGAAGAAGGAGAGGTTGGAGATATTAGAGAGGCTAGTAATGATGTAGTTTTCTGAGATCAGGTGAGATGGACACCAGAGCACAGGTGGGGACACTAGCCTTCAAGAGAAGTTCTTGATAAGTGGATAAGAAAAAGTTCTAATGTAGTTAAGTTTGAGAGGGTTTTCAAGATAAAGTAGGAGAATTTTTTTTTTTCTTCTGAGAGTGGGGAAGGTCAGTTGGTAGAGTAGGAATCTTGAAGAGAGATTAAATAGCTGCTGTGAAAGAGGGAGGTAAAAAAATAAATTTGGAAAGATTGCTGAGGCGCATTTGAGGCTGGATCTTATGACTTCGTAGCCATGTTAGTTTGCATTTTTTGATCTCCACAGTCTTAGTTTAAAAAGAGAAAAAGGGGAAAGAACCAACTTTTAGAGAAGAGAAACGTCTTATTTTTTAAGACGGTGTGAGTTTGCAGTGAGGTCACTAGCTTGGAACTCAGATTTGGCTCTGCTGCTCAGAAGCTTTGCCTGTTGGGTAAGTTGCTTTACCTTTCTAGCCTCAGGTCACTTCCATAAAATTAAAAAAACACAACACTTTGAGGACAGCTCTTTTAAAGTTTAAAAGTAGTACCTAAATACCAGTTAATTCTTTTTTTTTCTTTTCTTTAAAAAAAAATATATTTTATTGATTTTTTACAGAGAGGAAGGGAGAGAGATAGAGAGCTAGAAACGTCAATGAGAGAGAAACATCGACCAGCTGCCTCTTGCACACTCCCTACCAGGGATGTGCCCGCAACCAATGTACATGCCCTTGACCGGAATCGAACCTGGGACCTTTCTGTACCCAGACTGAGCTCTACCGCTGAGCCAAATCAGCCTTGGCCAGTTAATTCTTTTAAAGTCTCTCAGCAACATAATTAAAAACTGTTAAGAGGATGGTGTCTCTGGGCCCCACCCTCAGGTACTCTCTTAACTATCTAGATAAGGTATCTTAGTTCCTCAAGTCTAAGTCTTGGCTGGACCCAAGCTTGATAGGCAAGGGAGTTACTAGGGGTCAAGACTTGGGTAAGCAGGAATCCAATTATCCTACCTAATAAAAGAGTAATATGCAAATTAACCACCACTCTGCTACACCCACCAGCCAATCAGCAAGTATGCAAATATACCCAACCAAGATGGCTGCAGCCACACAGAACAAGAGGGAGGCTTGGGTTTCCCAGGCAATAGAAGAAGCCAAGTCTTTGCCTTCCTAGGCCTCCACTCTAGGCTACAAAGTTTCAATTATAGAAGATAAACAAATGCAAGTAGAAATGGCAGCAGCCACAGAGCTGGAAAGAGCAGGAGGCTAGGGTTGCCCCTGGCAATGGAGGAAACCAAGCTTTCTGCACACCCTGGCTGGCCCGGGCCTCCACTTAAGGTTACAAAGTTTCAATTCTAGAAGATACATAAGTCCCAATAGAAATGGTTGCTGGCCACAGAGCAAGCAGAAGTTTGAAATGTAGAAGATAAATAAACCCCAGATACCAGAGCCTCTGCTTGGGTTGCCAGGGGGCATGGCCGGCCTGCAAAGGGACACCCCTCCCCATGCACGGATTTCGTGCACTGGGTCTATAGTATATCATAATTAGGACATGTGACTACTGACTGCTCAACAAATTGGATCTGCATCAGCCAATGCCTTAAAAATCTACTCTACCCATCTCCAAAGCTGATAAGGGACCCTGGGAACAACTTTTTGCTTTCCTTTCTTTGTACTGCATCTCAAAATCTGTGTTTATGTGGAACACATATTGAATGCCACTACAGGCTGTACTATGGCTGTTTAGAAGTTTCCCATTATTCCAGACCTTGTCTGTGACAAAGAAACTTAGAGTGTGGCTTAGATGATGTTGGTGGCATTCCCCACAGTGCATTGCTCTCTGAAATGAAACCTGTTTCTGGTACTACCAACCCACAATGGATAAGAGTTTGAGACCTTTTTTCCACTGGTGCAGAAAAATCTGCCTCATCCTGATGGACTCCTTAGGAAGAATCTTTGGGTGTGCAGTTCACTAGATTTTGGAATATTGTTACAGAAACTGTCTACTAAGTAGACTCACAAAGCCCTCTAGGTTAAGTGCAAACTGAAGTAGGTACCTAGCGTACTAGATTCAGAGTCAGAAGAGTTGACACCCAGATCACTCATTAATTGTGTGATCTTGTGCAGACACTTAACTTTTTTTTTTTTTTTTAACATATTTTATTGATTTTTCACAGAGAGGAAGGGAGAGGAATAGATAGTTAGAAACATCGATGAGAGAGAATCATCGACTAGCTGCCTCTTGTACACCCCCTACCGGGGATGTGCCCACAACCAATGTACATGTCCTTGGCCGGAATCGAACCTGGGACCTTTCAGTCCGTAGACAGACGCTCTATCCACTGAACCAAACCGGTTTCGGTGACACTTAACTTTTCTCACTCTCAGTTCAACTCTTTGAATCTTTATTAAAACTCTGTGATATACAGGACATAATTATCCTTGCCTTGAAAGAGCACCTAGTCTTGTGGAGATATAAATAGGTATGCCGATAATTCAGATACAAACCAAAATGAATTAAGTGCTAAATAAATTGCACACAAAGGAAAAGACCATTATTCTAATTAGAAATATGTTTGGAATTTGAGCTTGGCTTTGTAGTATGAGGATCATCAGACAAGGAAGGACATTCCAGGTCAAAGGAACAGTATGAACTAAGGATATTTGATGAAGGTGAATGCCATGTTTAGAATGCTGGCAATAATCTAGTGTGCTTAGAGCAGATATTGGCAAACTTTCTGTAGGTTAGATAGTAAATATTTTAGACTTTTTATGCCATATGGATGGGTTTCTGTAGCAATTATTTAACTACTAAACTCTGCTATTATAATAAATATATAAACTCATGGTCATGGCTGTGTGCCAATAAAATATTATTTGCAAAAACCAGGCAGCCATTTTTTTGGCCCAAGGGCTGTAATAGTTTGCCTGCTCCTAGCTAGCAGAGGGGGAGAGAGATAGAGGGAGACACTTGTGGAGGAGAGTGATGATGGTAGGTAACAAGAGATGAAGTTGGAAAAGTATATTAAGAAAGATCTTGAATGCCAGGTTACTGAAATTGTTCTTTATTTTTCATCCTGTAGGGGATGGGGAGCCATTAAGGGTTTTTGAGCAGGAGAGTATTGTTATCAAAACTGTATATTAGGGGAATAACTGGTATCGGTGTGGCTGATAGTTTGAATTGAAGGCAGAGGGACCATTGCTGTAGAGAAGAAAGAGGAGTTTTCTGTTCTATAAAATGGCAATAAAACTCCCTGTCTACTTTACAGGGTTATTGTGAGATTCCAGTAAGAAAATGAATGTGAAGTGTCATGTGTAAGAGGTGAACTGTGACTTAAAATAATTCTGAGTACTGATGGTTATTTTTCTTTATTTAAAATACATTTTAATTTCAGAGAGAGGAAGGGAGAGGGAGAGAGAGAAACATTGATGATGAGAGAAAAACATAGATCTGCTGCCTCCTAGATCTGCTGCCTCCTGCACTTCTCCTATTGAGGATTGAACCCAAAATCTGGGCGAGTAACCCTTACTGGGAACCAAACTGTGACCTGGTTCATGGGGTGGTATTCAACCAGTTGAGCCCACTGGCTGAGCTGATGGTTATTTTTCTGTTGTGGGAGTGGATTTCTTGGAGATACAGTGTCACCTCCCAAGTAGCTTTAGAATGAACCCCTCACACTCTCTAGTAGTGCCTGTGGATCATGGGGGAAGCAAGTGGGCTAGACTGACATTTGTAAGTCTTAACTTCTCCAGGGTTCCCTGCTCTTTTCCCCCCCCCTCCATTTGTAGTTAGTTATCCCTCCTCAAGATGGGTAGGAATCTTAAAGACTAGAATGAACCAGAAAGAAAGTTTATTGGAAAGCTTCCTGGGTTCTCCTGGGAATGTGTGTCTGTGTCACTGAAACTGTCATTCTTTTTCAGGGGATGTTGGAAATTACTATTATGGACAAGGCCACCCAATGAAACCTCACCGAATCCGCATGACTCATAATTTGCTACTTAACTATGGTCTCTACCGAAAAATGGAAATCTATGTGAGTTACTGGGAGCTCTGCCCCTCCCTAATCTCAACAGCTCTGATTCCCCATATGTCATTCATTATCTTATTTTCATAAATGCCCATTCATCAGATGTGTTGTACTACAGTGTGTACCTGCAACTATTTAAAAACACATAAGCTCTGGCCAGGGTTCTTGGTGAGTAGAGCACTGGCCTGTGCACCAAAGAGTCTCAGGTTTGATTCTTGGTCAAGGGCACATACCTGGGTTTCAGGTTCAATCCCTGGCCCTGTCAGGGTTTATGCAGAAGGCAACCAATCAGTGTATCTCTCTCACATCGATGATTCTCTCTGTGTGTGTGTCTCCCCCTCCCTTCCACTCTATCTAAAAAGTTAATGGAAAAATATTCTCGGGTAAGGATTAACAACAAAAAGTACAAGATGCGCCCTGACCTGTGTGACTCAGTTGGTTGGGTGTCATCTTGTGCACTGAGAAGTTGCTGATTCCCAGTCAGGGCTCAAGCCCGAATTGTGGGCTCAGTCCCCAGCAGGAGGCAGTCACTCAATGTGTTATGCTCTCAGGTCGATATTTCTCTCTTTTCCCTTCCTCTCTAAATATATATAAATTATTTTTTAAAAAGTACAAGATGTAGAGATAAGGAGCAGTGAGGGAGTAAGGGAGCCTTGGGATATTTCCTAGAGGTGGTATGTGAGCAGAGTTTAAAGATTAAGTAGAATCTTAGAATCTAGCCTGGAATTCAGAAGGGAACTGGCATTCTAGGCCAAGGGAAGAACATATACAAAAAGACAGAGAGGTAAGAACAATATGTTGCATTTGGGGAAAATATAAGTAGCTCAGTGTTCAGGTATTGTGGTAAATATTCACAGGTGTGAGGGGACCTAGAGCTGAAGAGGTCAGCAAGAATTGGATGTGCTGTACTAAGCAGCTCTGATGGGTCAGAAAAAAAAACAACTAATGCCTAAAACGGTTATAGGGATTTTTGAACTAGCTCCAAGTCCCTAAAGAGTATAGACTGCCTAACCTCTTGAACCAGCTGCTACTGATCTCTGCGCCACCTTCCAGTTTTTAAAACTTAAACAGAAACAAATCAGTACATCTGTGGACCAAATTTGATCCAAAGGTTCCCAGTTTGAACCTTATCTGGAGATAGTGAAGAAAAAGTGAACTATTTTACATGTAAGAGATAGGAATAGGCATGCATTTTAATAGCACAGGGACAATTTAGGAGGTTGTTGCAAAGGTCCAAGTGAGAAAAGAGGGTCTGGGGGCCCATGTTGCCTTATGGTTAGAGCATAAGAAGTCTGTTAAAGTGTTCAAGCAGCTTAAGTAACCTAGCAACAGCAGTATCCTTCCTCACCATTCCAGAGAATGAAAGGGATAAGTTTTCCTTTCCAGATGGTCTTGTTATGGCTCTAAGATCCTGTAGAGATAGCTGGGGAAACCAGAGGGAAGGTAGATAGGAGCAGGTCAGATCTTGGGACCAGAGAGATTTTTCAGGTGTGAAAGGCAGCTGGGAATGAAAAACATAAAAGGTAGCAAGGTTTTTAGGCTCTCTGGAGAGCAGACTAGCATTTAGATCACATGTGTCAAACACACGGCCCGCGGGCCAAATCCGTCCCACCAGGCCTTGCAATGTGGCCCGCACCGCGCTGTCATCACTGCACTCCGCTGCGTTTCCATCACAATGACAGTTTATGACTGTTCAGTAAACCATTCAGCCCGCGATTTAGGCTGGATTTTAGATTTTGGCCCCTTCTCTGATTGAGTTCGACACCCCTAATTTAGATAAAGAGAATACCCGAAGCACCGGGAGCTTCTAGAGCTCATTGCACACCTACACTATGCTAATCTGGCCCCAACTTGCCTTCTTTCTTTCCTCTCCCCCCTTAGCCCTCCAAATCAGCCAGATCAGATTCTGCATCTTTCCACACCATCCTAACTGGGAGAATTATTTACTTTGCCCACCCTCATCTTACTAATCTTCGAGTCACCTCAAGTCCTTGTTCAACATATTTTTGTTGAGTACTGTCATACCCTTGGGACTATATTAACCTCCTTGAGAGATATTAAGAAATTAAAAAATGGCCGAGACGGTTTGGCTCAATGGATAGAGCGTCAGCTTGGGGACTGAAGGGTCCCGGGTTTGATTCCGGTCAAGGGCATGTACCTTGGTTGTGGGCATATCCCCAGTAGGGGGTGTGCAAGAGGCAGCTGATCGATGACTCTCTCTCATTGATGTTTCTAACTCTCTATCTCTCTCCCTTCCTCTCTGTACAAAATCAATAAAATATATTTTTAAAAAAATGGATTCTATCTTTAAGTGAGAGGAAAAATAAACTAATATTTTGGATTCTCTTTAAGTGAGAGGAAAAATAAACTAATATTTATTGATGATTGCTGGTGTCTGGCCATGATACCTGTTATTTAGTATATTAATTATAACAACCCTAACTTATATATCAGAAAAAAAGCTCAAAGAAGGTAATTAATTAACATGTTCAAAGTCACATAGCTATTAATAAATGAGTTGAGACTCCAACCCATATCTCTAATTCCAGTGTCTGTATCTGTCCATTTGTCCTTTTTTCCTTCCTAAACAACCTTTTAACAAGAGATCTAGAGGTGAATGCCTTATTTTATTCTTCTGCTCAGCCATCCTTATCTTATGTGATTTCATCATGTTTTTTTTGCCTTGATGGCTATCTCCAAGTATTATGTCTTCATGTAACAGAATCCAAAAAGGAAGAGAACAGGGTAAATTGATCAATGTCCCCACCTCACTCTCTTTTTATTAAAGAGAAAAACGCTCTACAGAGATTTCTCACCAGATTTCCCCTTAAATCTCATTGGGTCATTTGCCATCCTTAGACCATTTACCAGGGATTACATTTGATCCCTGTGGCTGGGTATATTAACATCCAACCAAATTGAGATATGTTACCAAGGAAGGAGAGAATGGCTTTTGGAAGGGGAGAATGACAGCTGTAGCTGTCATAGAAAATGATAATACCTTATTGAAAATTCTGTAATACTAGGGGCCAAGTGCACGAATTCATGCACCTTGAAAGGAGCTGAGGGGTGGATCTCGGCCCATACTCCATACCTCTGCCCAGCCCCTCCTGCCACAGCCCCTGGCCCCCTGTCTGCCGGCAGCCCCATTCCTACTGCCACTGTTCCCATGCGCTGACAGCACCAAGCAATCAGAGCCAGCAGCAGGTGTGAGGGATGGCCCCAGTGCCTACTGCGGTTGCAAGCGGGGCTGGTCCTGGCAGTGGGATCAAGCAGTGACTCCAGCACCAGTAGCGGGTTCATGTGGGGCCGTTGCTGGCAGCAAGTGTGAGAGGTGGCTGCCAGCCCCGATTGCCCTTAGGAGCAGGGGGAGGTGGAGAAGTCCTGGGAGTGATCCGGCCAGCACCAGCAGCAGGTGCAAGTGCTAGGTGGGACCACAGCACACAGGAGAAAAGAATTTTCAGTAACCACCAGAGGCTCACAGCAACTGGTGCCCCATCTTAGTCTGGTACCCCCACTCATCTGCTCCAACATCCCACCGCCCACCATGTTCAGCGCATGCCCCTTGGTGGGCAACGCATCTCATAGCACATGGTTCAGTTGTTCCACCTTTTGGTCTATTTGCATATTGGGCTTTTATATATATAGTCCAGAGGCCCGGTGCACAAAATTCATACACGGGGGGTGGGGATGTCCCTCAGCCCTGCCTGGATCCTCTCCAATTTGGGATCCCTCAAGAGATGTCTGACTGCACGTTTAGGCCCAGTCCCACTGGGATCCCTCTCACAGTCCAGGACATCCTCTCACAATCCAGGACTGCTGGCTCCCAACTGCTCACCTGCCTGCCTTCCTGATTGCCCCTAACGGCTTCTGCCTGCCAGCCTGATACCCCCTAACCACTCCCCTGCCAACATGTTTGCCACTAACTGCCCTTCCCTGAAGGCCTGGTCAACCCTAACTGCCCTCCCATGCAGTTCTGGTCACCCCTAACTGGTCTCCCTTGCAGGCCTGGGTCCCCCGCAACTGACCTTCCCTGCAGGCCTGGTCACTCCTAATTGCCCTCCTCTGCAGGCTTGGTCACCCTCAACTGTCCTCCCCTGCTGGCTGTCTTGTGACCACATGGGGGCAGGATCTTTAGCCACATGGGGGCAGCGATATTGTGAGTTGGAATGATGGTCAATCCACATATTACTCTTTTATTAGATAGGATACAGGACAGGATACCACAGGTGAAGGGTGTCCTGTATCCGGGTGGAGGTTCCCTTGGGGCATTGGGCAGCCTGGGGGAGGAGCCTGTGGTGGTTTGCAGGCCAGCCACGCCCCCTGGTGACCCAAGCAGAGGCCCTGGTATCAGGTTTATTTGTCTTCTACAATTGAAACTTGTTAGCCTGGAGCGGAACCAAGCCTTCTGCTTGCTCTGTGGCGGCAGCCATTTCTGTTGGGACTTATGTATCTTCTAGAATTGAAACCTTTGTAGCCTTAAGCAGAGGCCTGGTTCGGCCAGGGTGTGTGGAAAGCTTGGTTTCCTCCATTGCCAGAGGCAACCCTAGCCTGCTCTTTTCAGCTCCATGGCTGCTGCCATTTCTGTTTGGGCTTATATATCTTCTATCATGGAAACTTTGTAGCTTTGAGTGGAGGCCTAGACCAGTGAGGGCAGGTGGAAAGCTTGGCTTCCTCCATTGCCAGGGAAACCCAAGCCTCTCTCTTGCTCTCTGTGACCGTAGCCATCTTGGTTGGGTTTAATTGCATATTCACTCCTGATTGGTTGGTGGGCATGGCTTGTGTAGCAGAGTGATGGTTAATTTGCATGTTGCTATTATTAGATAGGATGTGTGGTATTCTTACTCTAAACTTTTAAAGCAAAACCTCAGTGTTATCTCTTCTCCCGAAATGTTCTATATCTTGTGTGTTTTTTGTTAATCCTTACCCAAGGATATTTTTTCCATTGATTTTTAGATAGAGTGGGAGGGATGGAGGGGGTGAGGGGGAACAGAGAGAGAAACATTGATGTGAGAGAGACACATCGATTGGTTGCCTTCTGCATGTACCCTGACCTGGGCTGGGGATTGAGCATGTGGCTGAGGTGCATGCCCTTGACCAGAATTGAACCCTTGACCCTTCAGTCTGCAGGCCAACATTTTAACCACTGAGCAACCCGTTAGGGCTAAACCTTATTCTCTTTAATGAGATCTTTTTCTTTCTCTGACTCTACCTTTTCATTGAGAGTGCATCTTTGGTCCTATTCCAACATTGTTTCTCTGCATTTATCCCTTCTGTCCTCTCCTTTCTCTGGGCTGTGATCTTTGCATTCCTTTCCCAAAGTATAGATAGCCATTTTAATATCTTTCCTGAGATGGATGACTTTGAGAGTCAGTCCTGAAAGATGCTACTTAGAATTCTCATGGAAGTTGTATTCCTTCTGTACTTTTGTCCTTACACCTGGAAGAAACATGTTGAGGTATTTTTCACACAGTTTCACCCTTTTGGGACCCTTCCTCAATTCATCTCTACATCAGCACTTTTATCCAGGCACCTTCCTATTTACATACAAAAGTCCTATTCTCTTCCTTGCCTCAGATGCAAATTTTATATATTCATAGATTTCTTATTCATCGCCTTCTGTTCTTTTGTTCTGTTTTTTAAAATGTTTCTATAAAATATTGTAGATATGAAATAATTTTTAAAAAATATATGTAAGGTATAAAAAAATCATATTGTAATTATTACTTCCTACTTTAAGAAAAGGGCCTGGCTGGCGTGGCTCAGTGGTTGAGCGTCAACCTATGAACTAGGAGGTCACAACTGATTCTAGGTCAGGGCACATGCCCAGGTTTCGGGTTTGATTCCCAGTAGGGGGCATGCAGGAGGCAGCCGATCAATGATCCTCTCTCATCATTGATGTTTCTCTCCCTCTCCTTCTCTGAAATCAATAAGAAAATATTTAAAAAAAAAATAAAAAAATACACACACACATTTAAAAACAAACACAGAACACCTAAGTATTTGGAGCCAACCCTTGCTACTTTCACTGTGGGTGTTTTTGTTTTTCTTTATTAAGGAATCACATATTTGTCCTCAACCTCCCATTCCAATCCCCCACCCCTCCCCACTCATGCCCCCACCCCCTATTGTCTTTGACCACTGGTTTGGCTCATCTTTATGCACACAAGTCCTTTGGTTGATCTCTCCCTTTTATCCCCACCCTCCCTTTGAGGTCCAACAGTCTGACCCATGGCTCCTTATCTCTGGGTCTGTTCTTGTTCATCAGTCTATGTTGTTCTCACTGTGGGTGTTTTTTTTTGTTTTTGTTTTTGTTTTTTATAAGTTTTTATTGTTCATATTATTACAAATGTTCCTTTTTTCCCCCCCCACCATTGCTCTCCTCCACCAGGTTCCCACCCCACCCTCTGCCCTTTCCCCTCTCCCCATTGTCCTCATCCATAGGTGCACAGTTTATGTTCAGTCTCTTCCCACACCCCCCTCTCCCCTTTTCCCCAAGAATCATCAGTTCACTCCCCTTCCATACCTCTGATTCTATTATATTCAATAGTTAATATTGTTCATCAGATTTTTTTAATTTCCTTGGTTTTTAGATTCACTTGTTGATAGTTACGTATTTGTTGTTCATAATTTTTATCTTTGTTTACTTTCTCTTCTGAAAGAACCCCCTTCAGCAATTCATATAATTCTGGTTTGGCGGTGATGAACTCCTTTAGCTTTTTTTTATTAGTGAAGCTCTTTATCTGGCCTTCGATTCTGAGTGATAGCTTTGCTGGGTAGATTATTTTTGGCTGTAGGTTCTTGCTATTCATCACCTTGAATATTTCTTGCCATTCCCTTCTGGCCTGCATGGTTTCTGTTGAGAAGTCAGCTGACAATCATATAGGTGCTCCTTTATAGATTACTACCTTCTTTGCTCTTGCTTCTTTTAATATTCTCTGTCTTTTGCTCTTGGAATTTTAATAATGATGTGTCTCGGTGTGGTCCTCTTTGGATTCCTTTTGTTTGGAGTTCTGTGCACTTCCTGGACTTGTAAGTCTAATTCTTTCACCAGGTGGGGGAAGTTTTCTGTCACTATTTCTTTCAGTATGTTTTCGATATCTTGCTCTCTCTCATCTTCTGGGACCCCAATAATTCTGATGTTGGTTCGCTTGAAGTTGTCCCAGAGGTTTCTTACATTATCTTCAATTTTCTGGATTCTCTTGCCTTCTAGCTTCTGTGGAGGAGTGTCTTCTGGCTCTTTATGTTCCAAATCTTTGACTTGATTCTTGTGATCTTCCCTTCTGTTTTTAGGACTCTGTAAAATATTTTTTATTCCAGACAATGTATTCTTTATTTCTTGTTGATCCCTTATCATTTCTTGTTGACTCCTTATTAATTCTAGTTTATCTCTTTTCATATCATCATAGGCCTTATCCATCTTTTCTAGGAAATTCTTGAAAAACCTTATAAGCGTAGATTTGAACTCTATATCCAGACGCTTTTTGTCCTCCATTTCTTTCCTTTGTGATCTATTTTGTTGTCGAATTTCGCAGTTACAGATGGGACGGATTTTCAGGGTGGAGCCTGCAGCTTTGGCTTCCGTCAGCCCCGCCCTATGCCGGTCCGTCAGTGCTCGCTGCCGGCGCCTCTGAGAGAAAGGTGCCCTCGATTTTCGCCTGCTGCCAAACAGTCTATGCTCTCCCACAATGAGCCAGTATTGGGGTTCAGTTCAGTTGGAAGTGGAGTTGGAGGTGGCGTTCAGAGCAGTCTGGAGCCCCAGTCTCCTTCCCGTCAGGACAATCCCACGGCACAGCCGACCGTCCCTTCTCTGTGCTCAGTGTGCGCACCGCCGGGACCTCCTTTCGCCTCTTCCCGGGGGTTCCGCCTTACAGCCCGGCTCCCTATGGCTGAGCCTGAGTCCCCGGGGTCTGGCTTAAAACTGGGGATCAGAGCAGTCGGGGGCCCAGCACAGTCGGAGTTTTATCTCCTTTCCGCTAAGAACGCCCGCCAGGCACTCGGCCTCCCTCCTCTCCGGCTCCGTCCTCTCCACGCGCCGCGTCTCCGCACCTTGGCTTTTCCAGCTCCTCCGCACCTCCTTCTGGTTTTCTCCTTGCTTCTCACTGTAGAATTTCCAGTCAGTCAACCTTCCTCTAGTTCTGGGCAATGTCCGTTTTATATTTTAGTTGTATTTTATTGAAATTGTTGTGTGCGGCTGCGGCTAGGTGTTCACCTGGGCGCAGCCATCTTGGATCTCTGTTTTTTAATAAAACTGTATTCATATTTTAGTCTTATATTTCTCATAATATGTAATAAGAATTAAATGAACTCAGAGAATTAAAGAAGCCAGACCTCTGGGTTTCCTAATCCACCTTCCTAGTGTGTAACCTTGGGCAAATTACTTAACTTCTCTGCTTTAGTTTCCTTACTGCAAGTGAGAATGATAATAGTATAAACTTTAACCATTTGTACTCCATAAGCATCTATAGACGCAAGTGGCGGACCTTTTTTTAATTAAATTCAAAATATCATGGCAGTTAACTGGTTAAAATGTAGGTGATTGTAAGGCCTGGTTGATGTGTTTCAGTGGTTAAGTATGACCCAAGAACTAGGAAGTCACAGTTCTATTAGTATTCCCAATTGAGGCACATGCCTGGGTTTCTAGCTCTATCCCCAATGGGGGGTGTGCAGGATATTTCTAATCAATTATCAATTAAAAAATAAATAAAATAAAAGGTGGTTGTAAGGATCATATGAGATAGCATATAAAGTGTCTATGATAAAAGTATTGGTAATTAGAAAAGAAGAGGGTCATTTTTGAAGATTTGCCTAGAAGGGATGAGGGGAAGCAATGATCAGCTGCTTCCTGCACGACCCCTACTGAGGATTGAGCCCTCAACCCTTGCATGTGTCCTTGATTGGAATTGAACCTGTGGCCCCTTAGTCTGCTGGCCAATGCTCTATCCACCGAGCTAACCAGCTAGGGCTACTCACCCCTTATTGAACTTTTGGAGCCACTTGGCCCATAATTATAAATTGTTATATTTAATACTAAAAAGCAGTAATAATTTAAGTGCTTCATTAAAAAAAAGGTAGACTTGCCAAAGCAACAAAGGTTGAGTTGCATCTGGGTCTTCTGATACTGAGTCTCATTTGATAATCTTATTTGCTTAATTAGATTTCAAGTTTCTCAAGGCCTAAATCTAATCAGTAATTTCTTTTTATCCTTATAGCATCTAACCCAATGCTGGGCAGATATAAGTGTTCAAACTAGACTGAGTGAAGACTGGCATGTAAAGAATAACATGCCCTTTCTCCTCTCTGCCCTCTAGCGTCCTCACAAAGCCAATGCTGAGGAGATGACCAAGTATCACAGCGATGATTACATAAAATTCTTGCGCTCCATCCGCCCAGATAACATGTCTGAATACAGCAAGCAGATGCAGAGATGTAAGTCCCTTCTGTTTGCTTCCGACGTTCAAGTCCCCAGTTGGATCTCTCTTTCAATTGGAGGGGGCCACCCTGCTTTCCTTTTTCCTCCCATTCAGCTGACACCTGATTTCCCTGGCCTCCCAAGGGTGCTAAAGTGCTTCTTTTTTCCCTTCTGGTTTTCCTTGTTTCTGGTTGTAAGGAATAGAGATTGAACTTCGTCCAGTTAGATTCACAACATTTTGCCAAGAAAACTGTAGTTGTTGTAATGGAAATGACCTGGGAGGAGGGATAAAAGATATAGGTCCCAGCTGTGACTCCTTGTTTTAAAAGTATATTTTTATTGATTTCAGAGAAGAAGAAAGAGGCAGAGAAATTCAGAAACATCAGTAATGAGTCATCATTTGGCTGCCCACTTGGGATTGAGCTGGCAACACAGGGCATGCACCCTGACTGGGAATTGAACTGTGACCTCCTGGTTCATACATAGGTCAATGTTCAACCACTGAGGCACCTGGTTTGAGCCCAGCTCTGATTTATAAAAAATATATATATATATATTTTTTGTTGATTTTTTTAAAGAGAGGAAGGGAGAGGGATAGAGTTAGAAACATCAGTGGGAGAGAAACATTGATCAGCTGTCTCCTGCATACCACCTACTGGGGATGTGCCCGCAACCAAGGTACATGCCCTTGACCAGAATCAAACTTGGGACCCTTCAGTCTGCAGGCCGCCACTCTATCCACTGAGCCAAACTGGTTAGGGCCCAGCTCTGACTCTTAACTGACTGGCAAGTTACTTCCCCTCATCTCAGATTCTTTTTTAATAAAATGGACTGAATGTCATACAACTAACTGCTCCCACTGTGTGAATTGAGAATTTAGCAGCAATTGAGGACAGACTCTGGATGATGTAATCTTTGAGTTGAGGTGATTCTCCCCTGACCTCTTGGGACTTGAAACTCAGAACAGGTTCCATCTCAGGAGCAACACCCAATTTATAGGAATTATGGGGATTATTTAAGCTGTGGGGGAAAACATGTTCAAATTTGGGAGGAACTATCATACATGACTTTGCTCTTGTAATTTTAGAAATTTTCTCTGAATACCTAAGATCTCAGGAAAACAATGTAATAGCATTGTCCAGAGAGGTTTTTATAGTTTATGACAGCTTATTTTCAAATATCAGGAAATCTGTGGCACTTGTTTGTTGCTACTGGCCACAGGTAGTCTGAGTCCCAAGGCAGAAAGTTATTTATTCATTGCAATAATTGTGCAGGTAGTGATTACAGAACCACAGGGACCTTCTTTGAAGCATTGAGTTTCACAGCTCCAGGAGCTGCTGCCCTCTAAGTGAAGTGTTTGCTCTGAATTAGCAGGGTCTTGTTTCCTTTTAACGTGAGACAAATTCATTCCTTTGGCTTTAGGGGTTTCCATTACCTGTTTAGACTAGTATTGAGGCTTCACTGTTAGTAGAGAGGGCTCTCGGAGAGAGAAGCAGCTTGGTGTAGAGGCAAGAAAATGAGCCTTTTTAAAATATATATATTTTTATTGATTTCCGAGAGGAAAGGAGAAGAAGAGAGAGATAGAAACATCAACGAAAGAGAATCATTGATCAGCTGCCTCCTGCACGCCCCTCCTGGGGTTCGAGCCCTCGACCAGAATGGAACCTAGGACTCTTTTTTTTTATATATATATTTTATTGATTTTTTTACAGAGAGGAAAGGAGAGGGATAGAGAGTTAGAAATATCGCTGCCTCCTGCACACCTCCCACCGGGGATGTGCCTGCAACCCAGGTACATGCCCTTGACCGGAATCGAACCCGGGACCCTTCAGTCCACAGGCCAAACCGGTTTTGGCGGAACCTAGGACTCTTTATTCTACAAGCTGACTCTATCCACTAAGCTAATCCATCTAGGGCAAGAAAGTTAGCTTTGATGCCTTGGTTTGAATCCCTGAGCTCTGCCACTTGGATATGTGTTCTTGAGTAAGTCTCCTAGCCTCTCTGAGCCTGTTTTTGTTTTTGTTCTGAGCCTGTTTGCCCTTCTTTAAAAAGAAGACAGTAGAGTCTCTCTTATAGTGGAGGTTGGGGGTGGGTAAATTATTATTATTTTTTAAATATTTTATTGATTTTTTACAGAGAGGAAGAGAGGGATAGAGAGTTAGAAACATCGATGAGAGAATCATTGATCAGCTGCCTCTTGCACACCCCCTACTGGGGATGTGCCCGCAACTGAGGTACGTGTCCTTGATTGGGAATGGAACCTGGGACCTTTCAGTCCACAGGTTGAAGCTCTATCCACTGAGCCAAACTGGTTTCGGGCAAGGGTGAGTAAATTAGATAATGTATTCAAAGTACCAACTACCATGTTTCCCCGAAAATAAAATATCCTCCGAAAATAAGACCTACTTACAGGTTTCCTTCTGAGTGAAATATAAGGCATCCCCCGAAAATAAGGCCCTCCTAGGCTCCGTCTCAGAATGCTATTGCTAAACATGAAAGATTTGGTCCACTGATTCTGAAAGAAATGGAGTCACAAGAAATTCACCAGGAAATTCAGGAATTGGATTGTTATGATGATGTTCCAGAAGATGATGACATGATTGTCATTGAATAAATGAGTAAATTCTTTTTAAAAAAATATATATATTTTATTGATTTTATACAGAGAGGAAGGGAGAAAGATAGAGAGTTAGAAACATCGATGAGAGAGAGTCATCGATCAGCCGCCTCCTGCACACCCCCCACCTGGGATATGCCCGCAACCAAGGCACATGCCCTCGACCGGAATCGAACCCGGGACCCTTCAGTCCCCAAGCCGACGCTTTATCCATTGAGCCAAACTGGTCCCAGCTAAATGAGTAAATTCTTGATACTGTAGGATTCATAGTTTGTCTGGTTTGTGTTGACAACTACCATACTACCGTACCGTATACAGGTAATAAATTTCCTTTATTTTCATTTAACAATAAATGTGTAGCGTATTCTTCTTCATGGAAAAATAAGACATCCTCTGAAAATAAAACCTAGCGCATCTTTGGGAGCAAAAATTAATATAAGACACTGTCTTATTTTTGGGGAAACAGGGTAGTATGACTTAAAACTTTTGTTATTTTCAAATCTGTCAAGGCTGCCTGACCAGTGGCTCAGGGTGGAGTGTTGACCTATGAACCAGGAGGTCACAATTCCATTCCTGGTCAGGGCACATGCCCAAGTTGCAGGCTCGATCCCCAATGTTGAGTGTTCAGGAAGCAGCTGATCAATGATTCTCTCTCATCATTGATGTTTCTGTCGCTTGCTTCCTCTCCCTTCCTCTCTGAAATCAATAAATATATTTTAAATTTGTCAAAGCAGACAAAAATATTAGGCTCTCCAAAGTGCACGAGTTTGGCTCTGGCTCACAGTTTTTTCAATTTTCCTGAAACCGGCACTCTAAATTTGTGCATTCAAAAATTAAACATGGGATTTTTTTCTCATTGAAGATAAGGAGTAGGAAGGATAAGGTTCAAAGAACCTTATTGACTTGATTCATAGGATTATAGAGAGATATCATTTACTACAGTCCTTTATGACTGAGGTATCTACAAATATAACAGATATGTAAGAACTGAGCTCTCTTTAAAATATTTACTAACACTTAACCTAGGAAATTATACCTGAAATGAATTATTATTTTCTTATATCTAAAACTCCCATTTCCTCCAAGGATGCTCCACATCCCGAATGGGCATGCAAGCAAGATGTTGGAAACCTAGGCAAGCCAAACCCACTGCAGGAGGAAGCAGCCAGAGGGAGAGATTGGTTGCCATGGATAAATATCCTGGCCCAGGGACCAAAGTTCCTATTGACACAGCTTCCCAGTGTTTACCGGGGAAGCTGAGGAGAGAGCCACCCACTGTGCACCCCCTTATGCAGGCCACGCTTTCCCCAAGCACTTGTCTTGGCAGGGCACCAGATCAGAGCATCCTTCATGTTTAGGGCAGTGCCAGAGTTGATAACTCTTACAGTTATTGCAAACCTGAAGCTTCAGCTGTGTCTCAAGAGGTTACCACAGCCGAAACCGGTTTGGCTCAGTGGATAGAGCGTCGGTCTGCGGATTGAAGGGTACTAGGTTCGATTCTGGTCAAGGGCATGTACATTGGTTGTGGGCACATCCCCGGCAGGGGTTGTGCAGGAGGCAGCTGGTTGATGTTTCTCTCTCATCGACGTTTCTAGCTCTCTATCCCTCTTCCTTCTTCTCTATGGAAAATGAATAAAATATATTAAAAAAAAAAAAAAAAAAAGAGGTTACCACAATTCAAGCTGGGCTCCCCTCCCCTCCTTATCTTAGGGGTCCTCCTCCCTCATCTAATTTGGGAACTACTGTTGATAACAGTGGGTGAGTAATGGAAAGGCAAGGGCGAGAGAATAGGCCGTAGTCCTACCCCTGCCTCAATTCTTATACAGTATATCATTGGTATCTCAGCAGTTTCCTTTTCTGTGAGAAGAGACTTGGAGCCATAAGGTTCCTCTCTTGCTCTGTGAGTCTACAACCTTCAGGTGTGCTTCCTTTCCTGTCCTTTTCATTTGCATTATGGTTTGCATGTGTTTATCATTATGTGTTAGTTTGTACTTTTACCCCTTTAGGCCTGAAATAACTGTACCCCAGTTGCCACTTGTGGGTGTAGTAGAAAGAGCACTGGACTGTGGGATTCAAGACACCTGGACTCTGATTCTGGTTCTTGCCATTGCCTGGTTGTATAATCTTGGGCAAGCCACTTCTGCATATCTCTTTGGTGGGGTTGATATCTGTCTTGTCTAGCTCATGGGATTGTTATGAGGATCAGAGGAGACTGTGTATGTGAAATTACTGGGGAAAAGCCAGAGTATGTTTTCATAGGCTTTTAGGACAGGCAGGCCAATACTTGAAACTGTCTCTGCCATTTACTAGCAGTTCATCTCTCTGAGCCTGTTTCCCCATTCATAAAATGGAACCAACTTTTACCTCATATGTTTGTGTGAGGATAGATCATATCAGGTATTGAAAGCATTTAGCATAGTGTCTGGCATGTTGCTAAATGTTCGGTGAATTCCTTGTTGGTCAGCCGGAGTGAGGTACAGTAACAAACCCATGCTGGAAGAGGCTAAATTTTTCTCCTGCATGTAATGAATCAACATTTCCCAAGCACTTACTTGCGAAATGTTTCCTCATTTAAGATTTCTTTTTTAAAAAAATATATTATTTTGTACAGAGAGGAAGGGAGAGAGATAGAGAGCTAGAAACATCGATGAGAGAGAGAGTCATCGACCAGCTGCCTCTTGCACACCCCCTACTGGGGATATGCCCGCAACCAAGGTACATGCCCTTGACCGGAGTTGAACCCGGGACCTTTCAGTCCCCAAGCCGATGCTCTATCCATTGAGCCAAACCGATCTCGGCTCATTTAAGATTTCTGTTCATCTTCTCAACAATGGGGTAAGGTGGGATATCATTATGACTTGTTATAGATAAGAGCCAAAGCTCAAATAAATTAAATTATTTGACCCACTTACACAGCCAGTAAGTAGTAGAGCCTGGACTAGAACCCAAGCTTTCTGAATTCAAATTCTGTTTTTCTATCAGCTCATAAATATATAAATAAAAACTAAAGGAAATTGTGGAAACTAACCTTTCACTTATGTCTTTCAAGTCAACGTTGGTGAAGACTGTCCGGTGTTTGATGGCCTGTTTGAGTTCTGTCAGTTGTCTACCGGTGGCTCCGTGGGTAAGGATCATACCTCTCTCCCTGAGGGCTGTGCTGGGTTGTGATAATGAGGTCTGTCTTTTAGGTCACTGTCCCAGTAGGCTGATCTGTGACCATATGAAATGTTAATATGGGTTTGTTTGTTTGTTAATCCTCACTCAAGGATACCTTTTTTATTTCTTCTAGGGAGAGTGGAAGGGGGAGGAAAAAAAGGAGGAGCGAAACATATTGATTGGTCTTCTCCTATGTGCATTCCTCCTGGGGCTATGGATCAAAACTGTAATCCAAATACATACCCTTAACGGGGAATCAAACCTGAGACCCTTCTGTCTGTGGCCCAACACTCCAACCACTGAGGCATACCAGCCAGGGTGGTCCTATGGGTTTTTACCGTAGGCCTTCCAACTGTCCTTCTGGTTCAGTCCTAGCCTAGGATCTTGATATAGTACTGACAGGTGTCCTTGACTGCTCTCTCCTACCAAGAGATCTTATATACAGGAATTCCCTGCTGATTTTATGGGATTGTTGAGAAGCTATACATAAAAGCAATTTGTGAACTGCTTAGTGCTGTAAAATGGGAAGTGTCATCATTTGTGTTGTACAAAAAAAGCATGGTAATTATCTTTGAGGTCAGAAATATGCTCTAAATATTGCCCATTTCCATTAGTAGATTTTAGATTAACTTTAGAATTATTCTAATCCTTTTTCTTATGCCTGTTGTTTTCTCTTCTCCCCTCTCCCTTCCACTACCCAGTGTAATCTCAGGAAACAAAGAATTTAACAGGGGGGGAAATTGCCCACAATCACACTGTCAATGAATAACTATTGTTACCATTTTAGCCAGGACTGGTTTGGCTCAATGGATAGAGCGTCGGCTTGGGGACTGAAGGGCCCCGGGTTCAATTCCGGTCAAGGGCATGTACCTTGGTTGCGGGCATATCCCCGGTGGGGGGTGTGCAAGAGGCAGCTGATCAATGACTCTCTCTCTCATTGATGTTTCTAACTCTCTATCTCTCTCCCTCTCTGTACAAAAATCAATAAAATATATATATTTTTTAAAAAAACTATTGTTACCATTTTAGAGTTTATACATCATTCTTTTTTCTGTGTATATATATCTGGATATAATATATATACATCTATATAATGCAAAACTATATACTATACAATTTTGTCTCCATTTTTCACCTAATCTTTAAAGTTTCTCTGTAGTAGATACAGCATGATTTTTATTGGCTACATGATTATCCCATGTTTTGGAACTACTTCAGTTGATTCAATTGGTTGCCTCTTGTTGGATCATTTGGATTGTTTCCTGTTATTTCTATTAAAATTACACTTTAACAAACGCCACAAATGTACTAGAACACTTGAGTGTATATATCTCTCACTTCTTGGACCTATTGTTTGTTTGTTTGTTTTAAATACATTTTATTGATTTTGTACAGAGAGGAAGGGAGAGAGGTAGAGAGTTAGAAACATCGATGAGAGAGAGTCATCGATCAGCTGCCTCTTGCACACCCCCTACTGGGGATATGCCCGCAACCAAGGTACATGCCCTTGACTGGAATCGAACCCGGGACTCTTCAGTCCCCAAGCCGACGCTCTATCCATTGAGCCAAACCGGTCTCAGCCCTACTTGTATTTTGAGCCTCTGTTACTTTTGGCATCTTCACTGTGAACCATGGTAAGAATTAACATTATATTGCAATCCAGGTTGTGTGTATACACACACTCAACTCACTCAAAAACCCTTTCTCACCTTGAAATCAGTTTTACAGAATAGCAGTTACCTTTACTGTTATTCTGATATTTTTATTCTACTCTATTTCATTTAAGTGTGTGTGTGTGTGTGTGTGTGTGTGTGTATATATATATTGGTCATGACCCACTAAACCAATTTTAAGGCATACTAAAGGGTTTATCACCTTCCATTTAAAAAACAGTTTTTTTAGAGTAATATCGTATTTACTGCCTGATGGGATGAGATGGGATGGGATGGAATGGAATGGGATAGGTTGCGAGGGAGAAGAGTGGCTTATGAATTGTATGATACAGCTGTGAATAGGCAGGTCCTACCTCTCACTGGTTCCTTGGGCTTCTTGCGGGGAGGGGAGAGTGGTTTGGTAATAAGCTTATGTTCTCTCTTCCCACACCCAGCAAGTGCTGTGAAACTTAATAAGCAGCAGACGGACATCGCTGTGAATTGGGCTGGGGGCCTGCACCATGCAAAGAAGTCTGAGGCATCTGGCTTCTGTTACGTCAATGATATCGTCTTGGCCATCCTGGAACTGCTAAAGTATGCCTGTCTGGCTTTTCTTTCGGAGAAGCACCTTAGGCCAGGTTCCCACTTACCTTTCCCTCTGGGCTTGCCTCCCTAGTTTGCTTTTCTTAGCAGTGTGTTGGCTAGGATGTGTTCAGTGAGTGTCTCTGGCCATTCTCTCCTTGACGGGGTCTTGATTTGATCTGAGCCCTCGGCAAGATCAGGGGCAGGTGCTGCTCAGATCCTGCCTCCAGAATGTCCCTGTGTGGCTGGAGTTGACCCTGGCTGTAGAGTAGGAAGATCGGACTTGGTCAGCTTGGTCAGGCCTCTGGAGACACCCTGCCGCACTTCCACCTTCCTTCAGCCAGTTTCCACGTCTCTGGTGCTTAGAGATACCTGAGGGAGGCAGCCAGCTCAGTAAGCTGGGACCTGGCGCCCTTGGCGCATCCCACTCAGAAAGAGCCCCCCGATTCCTAACCCCTTTTTAATCCTAGGTATCACCAGAGGGTGCTGTATATTGACATTGATATTCACCATGGCGATGGCGTGGAAGAGGCCTTCTATACCACAGACCGGGTCATGACTGTGTCCTTCCATAAATATGGAGAATACTTCCCAGGGACTGGGGATCTACGGGTGAGAACTCCTTTCAGGGGCCAGTCAACTCACCTTCAGCTGCCAGCTCTCACTCTCTTATCTCAAGTCACCAAAACCACTTCCTGCCTCTTCTGCCTTTCAGAACACTATTCTCTAGCCCAAGACACCTGCCTATAGTCTCCTTTCCTCCCTTATTCTGGAGGGAAAAGGGGTGCCTGACTCATGCACTTTGTTCCTGGCTACAGCTAAGTCACATTACACTATTCCCATGTGGCTTGAATTTTAGGCTAGATACACCAGGTTCTCTGCCATGGGCTAGGATTGGGACCCTATGAACCATCTCGGGAAAATTTTTTAGGTCACTTACCTTTTGACCATCTGACTAAAAGCAATGGACTCTATCCCCAGAAAAGTACATGAAATTTTGCATCAAATATTGAATAGTAAATAGACCCTTCTGCCTAAATGAATCCATCCATAGACTTCTAAGAATCCTTGGAAGCTAATTCATTGAACTGTTGTTATTAACATGAATACTGTGAAATCAGCCATTTTGTCATGCCAGTTACCTTAGGTGAAAAAAAGTGGTGCTAATTCAATTGTTTGGTATGATGAACATTAGGGTAACTGAGTACTACTTTGAACTCTTTTTTTCCTCCTTTGGGTCTCCACCATATATCCCTAGAGAGGAGAGGGTGGGTAGGTAGAGGAGTGAGTAGTAAAGCTCTCTGGAGAGAAAAGGGTTGTGGCAGGTAGATATTCTGTGACCCAGTTACCAGGCAGCTCTAGCCCAACTCAAAGGCAGAGGTCTTTGTGCTGTGGGATAGGATATTTAATCTCTGCTCCCATAAACAATTCCCAGTTTGGGTACAGGCTCAGTGGTGTGTTACGAGCCTGTACTAAAATCTATGAGCTAGATTTGCCAGAGATACTAACCACTGTGTGTCTGGCCCACCTCATGGGCCCCGCTTGCCTCTTTGAACCAGCCCCCATCCTTGAACTTCTAGCTTCATTTTTCAGTTTTATTTTAATGTCCCCTTGATTAGGATATTGGGGCTGGCAAAGGCAAGTATTATGCTGTTAACTACCCGCTTCGAGATGGGATTGATGACGAGTCCTATGAGGCCATTTTCAAGCCGGTAAGTGGTTTATCCACCACCTGGGTTACAAATGGGATTGGTCTAAGAAGGGGTAGCAATATTTCAGGGATCTTTCCCCACTGAGAGGCTAGCTGGGAGATGTGCTTCAACCCTGGATTGCATGCTACGTGCTCAGTTCCAGAAACAGAATTCATTCTAATAGTTGTTGATGCCTTCTGTGATTCAGGCCCTCGGTTAAATACAAGAATACCTAAGTCATGATCTATGGCCTTGAAGACCTCACAATCTAGAATTTGGGAGGCAGGCATATAACTTAAGTGTGTAGTCAGTACTGTTTTTGAGGGATGAACCGGAGGAGTGAGAGGCAGTCTGCTGCCTGGGCTGGAGGAAGGGTAGTCCAGTGGTTTCACAGAGGTGGTGACATTTAAGCTAGACTTTGAAAAATGAGTTACCTATGTAAAGAAGGACGTGGGGGCCGGCTGGGAGGGGTGGCATTCAACAGAGGGAACAGTGGTGCCAATATGTAGCTGTATGTAGGCCACTGTGATATGTGGGAAGAGTCTCTAAGGATGTAGAAAATGTATGTTGGGGTCAGTATTTCAGAGGGAGCCTTGACTGTCATGCTGACAAATAAATCCTCACTTGCCAGCAGCAGGGAACCATTAATAGTAACCTAATAAAGTCAGCAAACACCAAATGTGTTTGTAGTAAGGGCGGGCAGCAGTAGAAGCCTGGGTTATGTCTGTCCTCAGTAATGGTTCCTCATAATATCAGGCACAAAGTTTATAGAACCAGGTGAGTAGAGCAGATGCACCTAAGGGTCAGAAAGCCTTCCTGGAGGAAGTCTCAGGTAGTGAAAGAAGGGCTTGGAGTTGATACAGAAGCCATTCTAAGTTCAGTGTTAGTAGAGCGAGGAGGCTTTTGGAGATCCTGTCAGATTAGGAAAACCAGAAGCCCGGGCTGATGTTTCCTTTCCCTACTACCCAGCATGTGGAGAGTGGAAAGGTACAGAAGAAAGTGCTGCACCCACTCTTTTTAGCCAGAGCACAGCTTTTCTTGAGGCTGGTGGTGACCAGGATGTTGTCCTTTAGGTCATATCCAAAGTAATGGAGATGTTTCAACCCAGTGCAGTCGTCTTACAGTGTGGCTCTGACTCCCTGTCTGGGGATCGGTTAGGTTGTTTCAATCTGACCATCAAAGGTGAGACCAGGTAGCATAGGCCTGGGTGGGCAGGGTCCTGCTCGGTGCTCCTGTAACCCAGCACCACCTTCTTCCTCCAAAGGGCATGCCAAGTGCGTGGAATTTGTGAAGAGTTTTAACCTGCCTATGCTGATGCTGGGAGGAGGTGGCTATACCATTCGTAATGTTGCCCGATGCTGGACGTACGAAACAGCCGTCGCCCTAGACACAGAGATTCCTAATGGTAATAGCTCCAAGGCCAGGCTGGGCTGGGTAGAGCTGGAGCTCATGTGTCCTCAAGTTCACAACTTCTTTCCCTTTGGCTAAATGACCTCTCCCCTTTCAATACTAGTTATTCATTCTCTTGCATTTATCAGACCATAGTCATTAATTTTTCCTGAGTCCTTTTTGACCCTGTTCCCTCTCCCTTTTTTGGTCTGAACAAAATTACCACATTATTTGTAGCTTTGAATTTCTCTGTATGGTTACTGGGGTAGCAAGTAAACGAGTGCTCCCAATAATGAGTATTGCCTAAATTTTTCTAAACCAAGGGCTTGGGCCTTCTCATAGAGACACATACACACACACCCACCACTGGTGTGGACATTGCAGAGATTGAAAAGATGGAAGTACTATAGATATGCATCTCACCCTATTTTGGAAGCATTCTTCTCTTTGATAGTTGGGCTTATAGGTCCAGATAAACCCATAATTGGGGTCCCTTGGTTTGGCCAAGTCTCATGACTCTCTTATCTGCTACCCCAATTAGAGCTTCCATACAACGACTACTTTGAATACTTTGGGCCAGATTTCAAACTTCACATCAGTCCTTCCAATATGACTAACCAGAACACAAACGAGTACCTGGAGAAGATCAAGTGAGTATATCCCCAGACACCTCATGATTGAACATTCCAGGCTGTGGTTTGTCGCTAACTAGAACCCAGCCACCCTCTCTACCATTGGCCATAGACAGCGACTGTTTGAGAACCTGCGAATGCTGCCCCATGCACCTGGGGTCCAAATGCAGGCGATTCCTGAGGACGCCATTCCAGAGGAGAGTGGTGATGAGGAGGAGGAAGACCCTGACAAGCGCATCTCGAGTAAGACCCCGACCCAGGGTCCGGTACTCCCTGAGTAGGCAACTCTGACTTCCTTCCACTGTTCTCGGTTTCCATTTCCCCCCAAGCTACCCACCTGTTGGGAAACCCAAGTTCAGTGCCTGCAGGAGCCACTGGGGAACCTGAGTCCCCTCCGCCCTTCTCTTTGTCCTCTACCCTGAGTGTCTCTCAGAGGACACTCATGAGGAAGCTTGGGCACTCCTGCTCTCAGTGTTCTCCATTGCTTCCCAGTCTGTTCCTCTGACAAACGAATTGCCTGTGAGGAAGAGTTCTCTGATTCTGATGAGGAGGGAGAAGGTGGTCGCAAGAACTCTTCCAACTTCAAAAAAGCCAAGAGAGTCAAAACTGAGGATGAAAAAGAGAAAGACCCAGAAGAGAAGAAAGGTGTGTATGGTTGGGCAAAGATTTGGGTCTTGAGCCCCAGTCCTGGAGGATGATGGATCTATGTAGGGCACTGGGAGGAGGGAGCGGACTTGGGCCCTGCCAGCTCCTGTGGGATCTTCCTCGGCTCCTTGGCCCTTTCAGTGGCTCCCAGAAGTGGCCAGACTTACAAAGGAATGAAACTCAATTCATCTCCGCCGGATTAGAGCCCTGCCAGGCTCCAAAGCCAGGGACATGCCTGGGCTCCCTGTGGTCAGGAGTGTGGCCCTCACATACCACCCAAGCCCTTTTCCTGGCACTTCACCCCGGTTTCCCAGGGGGCTGCCTCCTCCCACCAGGTTCAGGCTCCAGCAGGTTGGGAAACCGGTCAGACCTGTTTGTTCTCAACAGGGCTCGCTGGGTAGACTTGGGATGGGCTTTTCTTTTTTATGTCCAGTGCGCTGTAGTGTGGGGAAGAGGTTTTGGGTAAGTGAAGATCCTGTCTTTCCAGAGGGGCTCTTTGGCCATCCCTGCACTTTTATGTTTCAGAAGTCACAGAGGAGGAGAAAACCAAGGAGGACAAGCAAGAAGCCAAAGGGTGAGGAAGGAGCTGTCAGCCATCCCCCTGGCATTAGTGCACCAGCCCCTTTGTCCCACTACACTGAGAGGGAAGGCACAGGGACAGCTGGTCCAGCTTACAAAGGCCTCTTTCAGGGACCAGTCTCTGCAGTTCTAGGCAGAGCTAGGAAGCCCCAGCCCTCAGCAGTCACCTGGGCAGCGGGTCCTGTGAAAGTAAGTCATTGTACCACACTTCAAGGCCTCTGGGCTGGGTTATCTCATACCAGTCTCTATTCTCTCCACAGGGTTAAAGAGGAGGTCAAATTGGCCTGAGCAGTCCTCTCCAGTTCTGGCTTCTTGCAAAGTGCCCGACCTTTTCTCCTGTAACTCCTCAGATTTTATATTTTCTATTTCTGTGTATTTATATAAAAATATATTAAATATAAATATCCCCAGGGACTAGACAGGAACCAGGGCCGTGAGCCAGGGCACACGTGCTGGGTGAGCTTTTCTAATAGCTGCCCTGCCATCCTACCCCAATTCGTAATTTTCAGCCATAAAGGGTGCCAGTTCTGGGTGGAAGGGATTCGATTCCCTTAAACATCCATAGGACAAAATTCCAAGATGCCAAATTTCTGCGTAGTGGCTTTGGAAAGGTGCCCATATTGAGCATTCTAGGAATGGCTGGGTCTTCAGGAACCCCTGTTCTTTACAGGCACCTTAAGGTAACCTCAGCCACATTAGATTGGTTCTGTTATACCTTCCCACTGGCCCCCAGTGAGTTTCACTTAAACTCACTATCTGACCTCCGACCCCTCTCACTCCCCCATTCTGCAGGTGGGAATTGGTAGTTTCCTTTTTGAGATACTATTTTCGGGGACTTTTTTTGTGTGTGAGAACCTTTGTAATAAAATGGTACATTTCTATACCCTCCTGAGCTCACCTAGCAGTATCCCTGGGTTGCTATTTATTCTACTTCCCTGCCTTTCTGGAGTCCATGAAAATCTGGGCAACACCCCAACAATAAAAGAACCCCACAAACTTACCTGTCTTCATCCCTCCCTCAAGGTTTGAGGCTAACCAATCCTTTTTAAATTTTAATTTTGGAGAGGAATGTGGGGAGAGATAAAAACATTGATCAGGTTGCCCCTGGCATGCACCCCAATATACTTACAACTTTTTGGTATACTGGCCTACGTTCCAACCAGCTGAGCCACACTGGCCAGGACTGAGATTAACCAGTCTTCTCACCCTTCCCCCAGAAGACCACTCATTAAAAAGCACCACTAAAGGGACAACATTTATTCCTTTTCCAAATGTTACAGTAAAACCAGGAGGAAGAGAATGGTTTTAAAAGTTAGACAAAAAAAAAAGTACAAATCTGGGATTTGGCCATTAAAAGTTATTTACAACAATGGGAGGGGGAAAGAAAGAAAAGTTGTTTCACATTACGGACCTCCTCCCACCCCAAAGCCTAATACTTCTTACCAAGTCAAAAAAGAGACACAGTTGATTCACAAGCTGGAGGTTTGAACTTGAGTAAGACATTTATAAAAACCTAGACAGGGGCAGTGTCCTCCCCTAGCCCAGGTGCCACTAGGCACAGCACGAGACTAAAAACAGGGAAGGCTGGACACTCAGGGTTCAGGAGTGTAGGCACCCCACATCTGGCTCAGGGATTTGGGGAGTAAACAAAACCTACTTGGAAAAGAACTGGGGAGGAAAACAGCAATTGCCTTATGTAGGGGTGGGGACGGGGGCGGGAGCATTTCACATCACTAACCTAACTTGGGAAACTGCAAGGGACCATCTTCAACTGGCCTCAAGAGGAAGGCCAGGTGGATGATGGGAGAATCCACAGGAGGGAAGGAGGGAAGGGAACGTGGCTGGGAGGGGGCAGCAGCCCCTTCCTTTCTGGGCACAGGAAGGCAGCCAGGGCACCAGGTCCAGGCAGTGACCTCAAAAGGACAGCACAGTTTTTGCAGCTCCGAGATCACCCACCTGTCCCAACCCAGCTACTCATTCTGCTCGCTGGCAGGTGTAGGGCCGCTCTCTGGCCCCGAGGGAGTGGACAGCTCTGCGGCCTGGGGCCCTGCCTCCTCTTCCGTGTCTCCTCCCTTGGAGGCAGCGCTAGCCTCGGCCCCCTTGGCTTCGGGATCCTGGCTCTCCGGGGTGGCGACGGCCTTCCCTTCCTGGGCAGCGCCTTCCTCACTGCAGGCACCGATCTCCCCCTGCTCCTGCTCTTCCTCTGTGGGTGAGGAGGCAGACGATTCTCCCCCACCCTCCTTCCGATTTCTCTTGAAGGAGAGGCCACTCAATTTGAAGGGCTTCTTGAAAGAGAATTTCTTCTTCTTCTTGGGGGTCTCCTTGGGGGGCACATCCCCCTTGGCCTCGGCTCCCTGGCTAGCGGGTGCTGGCTCAATGGCATCACCAGTGGCCCCGGCTGCCTCCTCTGTTCCGTTCACAGGGGGCGATTCCCCTTCACCCTTGGGGGATAAGTCTCCATTGCTTTTCACATGGCCATTCTCCTGCGGGGCAGAGGAGACAGCAGTCAGGGTCAGGACTCTACCCCTCCAGCCCGCCGCTTCTCCCTTCCAGACAACGGGGCTCCAGCCTGAGTCTGACGGTGGCCTCACCCACCCGGGATCCCGTCAGACAGCTCCCTCCTGGCCGTTCGGCGCGCCGGGGCCGGGGGGAGGCCGCGGCCGGCAGGAGGCGCTGGGGTCCCCTGGCCCCCACCCACTTCCAGGGGCGCGCTCCCTTCCCGCAGACCCGCGGGCGGCCCGGCCCGGGCGGGCGGGCTGGGGGCCGAGCTGCCGAGATTGGGCGGGAAGCCGCCCCGGGGCGCCGTCCTCCGCACCTGGACGGCCGTTCCCCGGCTTCCTGCTTTGTGCAAACGGTCCCCCACCCACCGCACGCTCCCCCCTCCTCCCGACTACCTCCCGAAAAAAGGCGGTGGGCACCGAGGCTGGGCTGCGGCCCGAGTGCCGGAGCGGGACCCGCCCCGCGGGCCCGGGGCGCCCCCTTGGCGCGGCCCTTTGTTCCCCGCGCGGCGCTCGGGGCGGCCCGGGGGCAGCGCCGAGGGCCGGGCGGCGAACAAAGAAGGCAGCGGGGCTCGGCCGGCGCCCCCTCGCCGCCCCTCCCCTCCCCTCGCTTCGCCCGCGGGGGCTGCGGCGCCGAGAACAAAGGGACCGGGCGGGGGAGGGGGCTGCCGCGTGTCCCGGGCCGGACAAAGCGCGCGGCCCCGACTCGGGGCCCCGGAGGGGACTGGGTGCGAGGGGAGGGGGCCGGGGGGGCCGTGCCCAGCGCACCCACCTGTCCGTTGGCCTTGGCGGGGGAAGCGCCTGCTGCCTCCTCGGCGGTCACGTCGCCCCGGGGAGCCTTGGAGCTCTGGCTGCCCATGGTGCGGGGTCTGCTGGGGGCGCCGAGCCGCCCCGGGCCCGCGCCGCAGGGGGTACCTCGGTGGGGTCGGCCTGGCCGGCGAAGGGGTGGGGCTCGCGCCTGAGGGGGAGGGGTGTCGGGGGAAACCGAGCTGCGCCCCCGCTCCGCCCGACCCGATGGCTGCGCCCGCCGCCGCTCCGCTCCGCGCCAGAAAGCCGCCCGTCGCCCGCCGAGCCGCCCCTATATATGGGCCCCGCGCCCGGGGCGTGGCCGGGCATTTAAATGAGCGCCCAATGGAGGGGCGGGGGCGGGCTCCTCGCCGCCCCACTAGTGCAGTGGGCGATGCTGGAGGTCTGTCCCCCGGCCCACATGGCAGGGGGGTCTGAGGAGGAAAGGAGGGAGGCGGGTTCCTGGGCGAGCTGGGCAGAGGGGCGCGCTGATGGAGGGAAGGGGAGAGAGCAAACGTTTCCTCCTCTCACGGCCCACCTCTCAGCACCTGGCGCAGCCCATGGCCTCGGTCCTGCCTGGCAGTCTCCCCCTAGAACCTTTCCAAGGCTCACATGCCTGGACGCATCACATGCTGGTGGTGAGGCATGCTCCAGAGAATGTGGTCATCGAAGCTGCAGGGCCCCTCGCTAGCATCTGCACCCCCTCAGGCCTGGAGACGGTGAGCGGTCCCACCCACTTCCCTGAGGGCCCGCTCCAGCCAGCCCTGGGGTCTGACCACATGTTGGCTCATTCTGATCAGACCGGTGAGGCCCCGTTCCTCATCCCTCCTCTCGGTCCTCGGTGTGGCCCATCATGCTGAGCCCCCACAGACAAGCTCACTCTTGGCCCCTCATGCCCTCAGCTTGGACACCACATAAGATGGTCCTGTGACCTTGACCGGCATCTTCATCTCCATATGAAAGCTGAGGAGCCTGGGGCTCAGTCTGACTTGTGCTCTCCCCTCCACACCTGCTCCCCATGAAGCAGGCAGAGGCACCCCAGGTGAGGATCAACAAACCTTCCTGAAGAGGAGGGGTGGACCTCACCAAGGCTCCCTCCAGCCTGGACAGGCCATGGGAACCCCAGAGTCCTGGCTGGCCCCAGATGTGTGCGTGTGCAGCTGCCTGGGGTGGAGGGGTTGTTGTCCCTCTACAGCAGGAAGGGGATGGGAACTGGAGGAAGCAAAGTGCTACAAAAGCAAGGCCGTGTCCTGGACAGCTGGCTCAGCATGGTGTCCATCTTCCCTCCGACCCACAATGGGTAAGGCTTCCTGGGAGGACTGAGATCGTCAGGGATGGACATAACCCTACACACACACACACACACACACACACACACACACACACACGAGAAATGAGGAACTCTAACCGCAGAGGGGGGTTGGGGGGCAGTGTGGGGGTGGAGCGATAGGCTGAGGTGGCTGCTACATTCAGCACTCACTCTTATATCCTCCATCCCCACCCCCAGCTGGATACCTAACACTCTCAGCTTCATTAGCACCCTCGCATGTCATAGTCCGGGACACTGAGGTTCACAAAAGGAACGTGACGTGTCCAAGGGCACACAGCACACACCAGGAGCTGAGGGTAAGAAAGAGCCAAGCCGAAACCGGTTTGGCTCAGTGGATAGAGCGTCAGTTTGTGGACTGAAAGGACTCAGGTTCGATTCCGGTCAAAGGCATGTACAATACATTGGTTGCGGGCACATCCCCAGTGTGGGGTGTGCAAGAGGCAGCTGGTCGATGTCTTTCTCTCATTGATGTTTCTAGCTCTCTCTCTCTGCTCTCCCTTCCTCTCTGTAAAAAATCAATAAAATATATTTAAAAAAGAAAAGAGCCAAGAGACCTGCTCAAACGGGCTGAAAGAAAACCCCTGGAAGAATTCTCTGTTGAGATCTAGGGCTGCTTGGTCGGGGTGGGAAGCAAGAAGAACTAGCTTTGGGATGGGGGAGGGGGCGCCATGCCCTGCTACAGCTCATATGACAGTGACTTCTCTACCCACTGCTGACGGGATGGACTTAGTGACCTGCATCCCTGTGTTGGCCGCAATAGGGATAGGGAACCTGCAATGCTGCCTGGAGCTACGCACCTGAGCTGATAGGGCATAGCTGGAGGCGTGGGTGAGCTGAGAAGTTGAGGTCCGAGGTTAAGAACAGATCCCAAGCCTCTTGATTTCCAGGCACTGCCCTTCGGGGGATGAGAGGCAAATTGCTTGGATCATCCCAGGAGGAGAAAGGAGCGTCAGAGCTGAAGGACCCCGAGTCCCCAGATCCTCAGAGGGAGCCTGGTCCAGAGGGAGCCCCTGCCTTACCCACCAGACATTGCTGGAGGCTGCAGGGAGGGGAATGCCCGGGAGCCCAATCCCTCGGCAAATCTAGGTCCCAGCAGAATCTGGCCTCTGGGAAAAGGAAGGGGTTTGGAGGATGCTGTAGGAGTGAGGGGGTGGGTACAGCAGCCCCCACGGCCTCCTCCGTCCACACTGCTGCTCCTTCCTCCCAGCTGCTGCCAGTCCAAACAATGTGTCCATTGTTCTACGTCTCCAGGGGTCTGTGTGCAACTGTGTGTGTCTGTTTCT